GAGTCAGCATCAGCAGGTGGGGCAGGGACAGCGCCAGAGACAAAGTCAAAGAGAGAGACCTCATCTATCGCATCACACAGTAAGTACAGCTGCAGGTCTTCAATCCAGACGGCAAAGTCAATGGCCCTCCCCTCAGCGTCAAAAGTAAGAACATTGGGGGTGGCCATGGCAGCAGCTGAAAGTCTCACCGGGCTGGGAGAGTCGGGTAGGTCAGTAGCAGAGGAACACAGCTCAGGAACAGCAGCACGGCTCCTCAGGCGGCTCGGGCGGCTCGGGCGGCTCGGGCGGCTCGGGCGGCTCGGGCGGCTCGGGTGGCTCGGGCGGCTCGGGCAGCTCGGGCGGCTCGGGCGGCTCGGACGGCTTGCGCGGCTCGGGTGGCGTAGGGGCTCACGGGCGGCGCGGGCTGCTGGGGCTGCTCACGTGCAGCACGGCGGGCTGCAGCAGGGGCCGCGGGGAGGGCTGTAGCGGGGCCGACGGCGGGCTGTAGCGGGGCCGGGGCGGGCTGTAGCTGGGCCGGCGGCGGGCTGTAGCAGGGGCCGGTGGCGGGCTGTAGCGAGGCCGGGGCGGGCTGTAGCTGGGCCGGCGGCGGGCTGTAGCAGGGGCCGGTGGCGGGCTGTAGCGGGGCCGGCGGCGGGCTGGAGCTGGGCCGGCGGCGGGCTGTAGCTGGGCCGGCGGCGGGCTGTAGCTGGGCCGGGGGCAGGCTGTAGCTGGGCCGGCGGCAGGCTGTAGCTGGGCTGGCGGCGGGCTGTAGCAGGGGCCGGTGCGGGCTGTAGCGGGGCCAACGGCGGGCCGTAGTGGGGCCGGTGGCAGGCTGTAGCGGGGCCAGTGGCGGGGTGTAGCGAGGCCAGTGGCGGGCTGTAGCGGGGCCGACAGCAGCTGAAGCGGGGCCGGCGTAGGGCCGTGGCGGGGCCGACGAGGTCTGGGCGGGGCCGACGAGGGGCCGAAGTGGGGCCTAGGCGGGCCGGCGGGGCCTAAGCGGGGCCAACGCGGGGCCGACGCGGCCTAAGCAGGGCCAACGCGGGGCCGACGGGGTCTAGGCGGGGCCGACGCGGGGCCAAAGCGGGGCCGAAGCGGGGCCGACGGGCCTAAGCGGGGCTACGCGGGGCCGACGTGGGGCTACGCGGGGCCGACGTGGGGCCTAGGCGGGGCCGACGAGGAGCCGACGGGGTCTAGGTGGGGCCGACGTGGGGCCTAAGTGGGGCCGACGAGGGCTACGCGGGGCCGACGAGGGGCCTAGGCGGGGCCGACGAGGGGCCTAAGCGGGAGCACGACGGGGAGGGCGACACGGAGGGTCGCTAAAAAAATGCGCGCCTCGGGGCGCGCTTCGGTGGGCCCTAGGAACAGGCCCTAAGAAGGGACCTGCTCTGATTCCAGGAGAAAGTGTGAACGAGAATGATGGAACTATGAAATGAAGTGAGTACAAATGTGAAACCCTAATTGGGTTGTACCCCCTATGGGATACCCCACTATAGCCTACAGAAACAAGTAAGCTATATGTTCTGACAGCGCTTATAATCGAGGAGGGGATATAAGCGCCATATGCCAATTAGAAGCGCCAGGCGCTTATTGTCAAGAATAATATACATTTCTATATATTGTTTTGTAACTGCCTGTAGTGTAGACTAGTGTAGTTATATAATGTTCTGTTTTAGTGGTGCACCTTTCATCTTGCCTATATGTACTGCTCGCTCTATAGTGAAAACCCCTTCTTCTCTTTTCAATTCTCTCGACTCTACTCAACTTACTCGAACTCAACTAGCTATGGCTCCTTTAGCCTAGCTAAGCTTTTGACATGGTACAGAGCACGTAACGCTCCTGGACTCCTGCTTCCGCTGCTACTAAGTGTTCTGCACGCCCCGTGGTGTGCCCTACTCTCGCGGCCCCGCCGCCCTTCTTAAGCGGCCCCGCCGCCCTACTGTCGCGGCCTCGCCGCCTCTCTACTGTCGCGGCCCCGCCGCCCTACGTCGCGGTCTCGCCGCCCTTCACTGCGGCCTCGCCGCCCGTGCGCCGACGTCTGCGAAGCCGCCGCCCGTGAGCCGCCGCCCGTGAGCCGCCAGTGGCCCGCCCGTGCGCCGACCGCCTGTGCGCCGCCCGTCCGTGAGCCGACGCCACCCGCACGCAGCCCGACCGTGAGCCGGCGCCGCCCGTGAGCCGCCCGCCCGTGCGCCACCAGCCTGCCCGTGAGCCGCTGGCGCCGCCCGTGCGCCGCCCGTCCGTGAGCCGCCCGCCCGTGCGCCGCCCGCCCGTGAGCCGCCCGCCCGTGAGCCGGCGCCACCCGTGGGCCGCCCGCCCGTGCGCCGCCCGCCTGTGAGCCGCCGCCTCTGAGCCGCCCGTCCGCGAGCCACCCGCCCGCCCGTGAGCCGCCCGTCTCCTACACCTGCGGTCCCGACCCCGTCCCGGCCATGCCTCGTCACCAGCTACGGCACACCGGGGGCACGTGCACCCCCCCCCCCCTTCTTCCCGTCACTTGTCGCGGCTCCTTCGGGGGCCGCACGCGGCCCCCTCAGGTCGCCTTGACAGGTGACGGGAGGGGTCACCTGAAAGGGGGGGGCAATCGTCGCCCCCTCTGCCGCTTGCTTTGGCGCCCGGGGAGGCCGTGCGTCGCCCCCCCCCCCCCCCCCTCTTCTCCTCCTCCTTTTGTTCCCTCTGTTGCAGCTGCCGCTGGGGGGGAGGGTGTGGGAGTGTGGGGGAGCCCGGGGAGGGACTGGGGGTGGCGGGTGTGGGGGTGATGGGTGATGTGTGGTCCCCTGGCCCTACGGCCCCATTCTCCTCCGTTTACCCCCCCCCCCCCCCCCCCCTCTGCTGCTCCTGCAGTAGTGTGAGGGGGATGGGGAGGGGGAGGGGGAGGTTGAGGAGATGTAGGGGGTGACCAACCAGAGCCTACCACCTCCTCTCCTCTCTCTCTCCTCTCTCCCTTCTGTTCTCTGTTTTCTGCACTGGTTGTCACTGCTCCTGCCTACTGCTGCTACTTCAACTGCACTCTGCTTGGTGTACCCCATTATGGGGGCGTTGACTGCATATTCTTCCCTACAGGCACTTATGGGGGCGTGTCAAGAATAATATATATTTCTATATATTGTTTTGTAACTGCCTGTAGTGTAGACTAGTGTAGTTATATAATGTTCTGTTTTGGTGGTGCACCTTTCATCTTGCCTATATGTACTGCTCGCTCTATAGTGAAAACCCCTTCTTCTCTTTTCAATTCTCTCGACTCTACTCAACTTACTCGAACTCAACTAGCTATGGCTCCTTTAGCCTAGCTAAGCTTTTGACACTTATCCTAGGGTGGCGCTTATATCCGGGGGGAGACGGTACAATCTTGATATGAGGTTGTGGGTTTAGGGGAATTTGTAGTGGGAGGTTGATACGAGGTTTTCTTGATACGAGGATAGGAATACGTTCTTAGAAGTTCAAACACAACATACATTGGCCTCGAAAGTGGATTGGAACATGAATATTACTTTTGCGCTTATAAGTTGATCGTCCCTAGAATCACCTCAAGAAGGTTCGTAGAGAATGTATGGTAGTGGTGGGCCCCTGACCTCAGATCAGAGTGAATATCAAATGACTGATGTTGGGCTGAGAAAAGCCCTTAGGATCTTTGCAGGGCTAAACTCTGAACAGGAAGTTGTAATAGCGGAAGCGTTTAATGATAAGTCCTTGAACCACCTTGCGCTGGTATGTGAGGGCAAAGTAGATTGATTAGAACAAGGAAATACAAGGTTTTCGTCAGATTTATATGACATAGCTGTTGTAGGCTGTAGTGGGGTAGCACATATGGGGTACGACTTTCTAGGGTTTGTACTTGTACCCAACTTTCCCTTAGTCAATTCATTCTCGTTCATTTTCTCATTGTATCGAGCTGGTTCCCCTGTGGGGACTGTTCCTAGGGCCCACCACCTTTTTTTCCTGCCCGAGTCGCGCTCCCCTCTTTCGACCCCGTCGTGTCGCGCTTGCGGCCCCGTCGCGTCGCCCTCGCGGCCCCGTCACGTCGCGCCGCCCTAGCGGCCGCGTCGCGCCACCCTCGCGGCCCCGATCTGCCGCCCTCGCGGCTCCGTCGCGTCCCGCCGCCATCGCGGCCCGTTCGCGCCGCCCTCGCGGCCCTTTCGTGCCGCCCTCGCGGCCTCCTCCTAGCCGCCCTAGTGGCCCCGTCGCCTACCCCTGCGGCCCCGGCGCCGCCCTTCTCGGCCCCGGCTCCGCCCTTCCCGGCCCCGGCACCGCCTCTACTGGCCCCGTCGCCTACCCTACAGCCCCGGCGCCGCCCTTCCCAGCCCCGGCGCCGCCCTTCCCGGCCCCGGCGCCGCCTCTGTTGGCCCCGTCGCCTACCCTGCGGCCCCGGCGCCGCCCTTCCCGGCCCCGGCGCTGCCGTTCCCGGCCCCAGCGCCGCCTCTGCTGGCCCCGTCGCCTACCCTGCGGCCCAGGCGCCGCCCTTCCCGGCCCCGGCCCCGCCCTTCCCGGCCCCGGCGCCGCCTCTGCTGGCCCCGTCGCCTACCCCTGTGGCCCCGGCGCCGCCCTTCCCGGCCCCAGCGCCGCCCTTCCCGGCCCCGGCGCCACCTCTGCTGGCCCCATCGCCTACCCTGCGGCCCCGGCGCTACCCTTCCCGGCCCCGGCGCCGCCTCTACCGGCCCAAACGCCGTCCCCACGCGGCCCCGCCGTCACCACCGAGCCGCCGGCGCCGCCGAGCTACATCCGAGCCGCCCGAGCCACCCGAGCCGCCCGAGCCGCCGCGCCACCTGAGCCGCCCGAGCCGCCGGGTCGCCGAGCTGCCGAGCCGCCGTACCGCCGAGCCGCCCGAGCCGCCAGGGCCCCGAGTCACCGAGCCGCAGTTGCTGCCGAGCCGCCGTACCGCCGAGTCGCCCGAGCCGCCAGAGCCGCTGAGTCGCCGAGCTGCATTCCTGCCGAGCCGCCAAGCCGCCCGAGCCGCCCTGTCCGGTAAGAGCAGCGCCTCTATCACTGCACTGCCCTTACCCTACTGTTCGCGCTGCTAGTCTACTGCTATCATGGATACCCCTAGTGTCCTCGCTTTTGACGCTGAGGGTCGGGCCATTGACTTTGACGTCTGGATAGATGACCTGCAGCTTTTCCTACAGTGCGATAGGTCAGACGGTCTCTCCCTCTTTGACCTCACTTTTGGTGCCTCGCGTGCCCCTGCTGCTGATGCTGACGCCACTGTTCGCTCACAGTGGGCCACACGCGATGCTGCTGCACGTCTTGCTATGCGTCGCCACCTGCCTACCTCTGAGCGTGCGCACTTTAGCCAGTACAAGACTGCTCAGACCTTGTACGACGCTGTAGTTGCACGCTACTCCTCCCATGCCACTGCTGCACTGAGCCGCCTCATGCTACCGTACCTCTTCCCTGACCTTGCTGCCATTCCCACAGTCACTGACCTCATTACGCACCTCCGCACTAGTGACACTCGCTACCGCGCTGTGCTTCCTGCTGAATTCTGCGCCAAGAACCCCCCCCCCCCATGTACATCACCCTCTACTAATAGTCACCCGGCTCCCTGACTCTCTCCGCGTAGTCAGGGACCACTTCCTCTCAGTTTGCCCCACCACTCTCACCGTTGACCTCCTCGAGAAGGCCCACCTAGCGTCAAAGAAGAGCATAGTCGCTGTAGGAGCCTCTCGTGGTGACCCTCGCACCCTTCATCTTTGAGGGGTGTCCCCCCTCCACCCTTTTGCCCTCAGTTGCCTCTACTGCTGCGGCCGACCTCGTTGGTTTCGAGTCGGTCGACGCTGTGTCTGCCCCGAGCGGGAGACGCCGCACCGGCAAGGGCAAAGGGGGCAAGGGCGCTGGAGGGGCTAGCAGGGGTGGCGGAGGTGGCGGTGGCGGCAGTGGAGGGGGTGGGGGTGGTGGTGGGGGTGGTGGCGGGGGTGGAGGTGTCGGTGGCGGCAGTGGAGGCTGAGGCGGAGGCGGCGGTGGCGGTGGGGGCGGAGGTGGCGGAGGTGGCAGCGGAGGAGGAGGCGGCGGCGGAGGAGGCGGAGCTGGTCGGGGTGGCGTTGCGCAGAGGGTCGGCTCCGGTGGTGGTCAGCGCCAGCAGCAGCAGCCCACTCGTGACATCCCCCCCCCTCAGCAGCTGCGTGAGTGGTACACTGCACGCCAGCGGGGCGGGGGTACTGGTCCGTGCACCTATGTCCTACGCACCGGCGACCGCGCGGGTGAGCAGTGCGGCGGTGCGCACTCCACCCAGCGCTGCTTTGGCCGCCTGACGGACGATTGGCATCACCAGTTCCCTGAGGCCACTGAGATCCCTCGCTGGGGCAGCTGTCTAGGGCGAGAGTAGCTATCTTTGACCTTGACTTTGATGCTATTCTTGCTGCCATGTATGCTGTGACTATTAGTGATGAGGGTGACTGTTACAGGTGTTTTCCGCCCGACCCGGGCATTGAGACTGCTGCTCTAGGTACTGGTGAGGCTGCTGCTCTAAGGTGCTAGCGAGGCTGTTGCTCTAGGTGCTAGTGCGTCTGCTTCCTCAGGTGCTGGTGAGTCTGCTCTCTCAGGTACCGCGTCGGCTTCGGCCTCCCACAGCTTCACCCTTGACTCGGAGGCTTCTCGCTCCTTCTTTCGAGACCGCACCACACTCACGCCGCTTGGTCGGCCTGTTGCAGTCTCTCTGGCAGACCCCTCTGGGGGTCCTATCCTTGCTCACTTCTCCACTGTCCTCCCGTGTCCGGCGGCCCCCTCTGGCACCCTGTCTGGTCTTTACCTCCCCTCGTTCTCTACGAACTTGGTGAGTGGTGCTGACCTACAGGATGCGGGGGTTCACCAGTTCACTTCTGCGAGTCAGCGGGTGACCCACTGCACGAACGCTCGGACACGCCGACACTTGGCCACGTTTACACGTCGGCCGGGGTCGAGCCTGTACACCCTGACCACTGAGTCTCCTCCTGTCACTGCGTCTGGTCGAGTAGCTGCGTTGGGTCAGGTGTTTGCTGCAGCCTCCAGGTCTGGTCCTGAGTCTGCCCCCTGCTCGTGTCGCCTCCTGTCTCACGAGACTCTCCTCTGGCACCACCGCCTTGGTCACCCCTCCCTGCTTCGTCTCCGAGGCATGGCCTCCCGTGTCTCTTGTCTCTGGTCTGCCCCTGCCTGCGTCCCCTGCGTCGAGGGGCGGCAGCGTGCTGCCCCTCACTCCTCCCAGTTTCCTCCGACATAGGCCTCGTTGCAGACGCTTCACATGGACGTGTGGGGCCCAGCCCGCGTCCGTGGACAGGGTCACGAGCGCTACTTCCTGCTGGTGGTTGACGACTACTCGCGTTACACCACAGCCTTCCCCTTGCGCAGCAAGGGTGATGTCACTGAGGTGTTGATCGACTGGATCCGCGCAGCTCGTCTCCAGCTCAGGCAGAGCTTTGGCTCGGACTTTCCTGTTCTGCGTCTGCACTCTGACAGAGGCGGAGAGTTCTCCTCTGGCCTTCTGCGAGCCTACTGTCGTGCACGAGGCATCCGCCAGACCTTCACGCTTCCGGACTCTCCACAGCAAAATGGGATTGCTGAGCGCCGCATTGGCATGGTCATGGACGTCGCCCGTACGTCCATGATGCATGCAAATGCCCCCCATTTTCTGTGGCCGTTTGCGGTTCGGTACGCGGCGCATCAGATCAACCTTCAGCCCAGGGTCTCCATGCCGGAGACCTCCCTAGCTTTGCTGTGGACGGGGAAGGTTGGCAATGCGTCTGCGTTCGGTGTTTGGGGATCTCGGGCGTTTGTCCGCGACTTGTCTGCGGACAAGCTGTCCCCTCGTGCTGCTCCTTGCGTCTTCCTTGGCTTCCCCCCTGACGCGCCTGGGTGGCAGTTCTACCACCCCACCTCTCGCCGTGTTCTGTCCTCCTAGGGTGTCACGTTTGACGAGTCGGTCCCCTACTACCGCCTCTTCCCCTACCGCACTCCGTCCCTCCCCCCGCCACCGCTCTTCCTTGTGCCAGGTCCCCCCCCGGTAGACCCCCTCCCCCCTCAAGGTCTTGCCCCTTCAGGTGTGTCCCAGGTAGACGCAGTTGAGCCTGTCGAGGTTGCTGGTGACTCTGGTGCTGCTGAGGGTGCTGAGCCTGGGGGTGCTGACTCTGGGGGTGCTGAGCCTGAGGGTGCTACTACTGGGGGTGCTGAGCGTGGGGGTGCTGAGCCTGGGGGTGCTACGCCTGGGGGTGCTACGACTGGGAGTGCTGAGCCTGGTGGTGCTACGCTTGGAGGTGCTGAGCCTGGGGGTGCGGAGCCTGAGGGAGCTGGGCCTGCTCGTGTGGCGTCTGGCGGTACTGTGCCTAGAGGTTCTCCGGGTGCTTCGTCTCGGCGGGAGCCACTCTCTCCACAGGAGCTGTGCGAGTGGTTTGCCCGGCGCTGGAGGCGTGCTGCTGGAGCTGGAGGCTCTTCGGCTACTGAGGGTGCTGGTGTCGCGGGTCCCGGAGGTGCTCACACTGGGAGTACTGGAGCTGCTGGGCCTGCGGGTACGACTAGAGCTGGAGCTGCTGAGGGTGTTGGCGCTGAGGCTACTATTGTCGGTCCTGGAGGCGGTCCTACTAGGGGTGCTACTGGTGCTGCTGGAGGTCCTGGAGCTACTGGAGCTGCTGGGGGTGCTGGAGCTGGAAGTGCTGCTGGCGCTGGTGCTACCATTGGGGGTACTGGTGCTGTCCCTACTGTGTCTGGAGTCGCCGCGCGGCCTCGGCCGTACTTCGTTCCGCTCCTTCAGCAGGTTCTTGGTCTTCCGCCTTCTACTGGTCCTCCTCCTCCCTTAGAGTGTCCACAGCCTGTCCCGTCACAGTTACAAGTACAGCCGGCCTCTCCACTGCCTGCTCCTTCTCCCTACACTGGTCCTACTGGAGGTCTTGCTGAGCGTCGTGAGTCTACGTCTCGTCCTGCGTCCCCTGTCTGTCCTGCTCGCATTAGTGGTGGTGTTTCGCGTCAGCGTCCTCCTCCTGTCCTTGGCACGCAACGGATGTCTCTGCGTCCGTCCACTGCTCCTCTGCGTGCCCCTTTGCCTTCTCCTCCTGAGTCCTTTCTTCCTGCTCTTGCCGACCCGGAGTCGGAATCTCTTCGTGCTGCCAGTCCTATTGTCACGCGTCTCCTTGCTACTGTCGTCACTGACCCTTCCTTTGAGTCGGTTGCTGCGTCTGCCCTAGTTGCTGAGCTCGTCAACTTCGCTGCTCGCTGTCGTCTAGATTACGCTGCTAGTCTTGTTGCTGAGTCTGAGTCTGTCTGTCCTCCGTCCGTCAGGGGTGAGTGTGCCCTTGGCACGGACGTCCTTAAGGACAGGCAGGAGGAGTTCCAGTGTTTGGCTGCTGCTTTGTGAAAATGTGAACGAGGAATGAATGAACTATGAAACAGTTGGGTACAAGTACTAACTCTAATTGGGTTGTACCCCATATGGGCTACCCCACTACAGCCTACACAAAAGCATAAGCTATAATGTTCTGACACACCCCCATAGGCAAAGTGGGGGAGAACAAGCGGTCACAAGACCAGTCAAGCAAAGCAAAGCAAAGCAAGCTCAGGGTGGATCACAAAGTCACCACACATTCCGAGCACAAGTTCAAGGCCACAAGGCCAGTTCACATGCACGAGTACATATATATAAAAAGCTAGACAAGTAAGAGCAGGTGTATATATATGTAACAGTACAAGCAAGGTCAAGAGGTGAGCAAGTGAGGCAAGGCAGGCACAAGACCAAGCTGAGTACAGAAGCGCTGATGATCACAAGGCGCAAGTGCCTTGGTGAAAACATCAGCAGTGTTGGCCTCAGAGGCCACGTACGCAAGACGCAACTGACCACGCTGCTGCAACTCACGAGCAAGAAAGTAGCGGAGAGCAATGTGCTTCGTTCTGTGCTCCAGGCGCTGCTCCCGACACAAGGCTAGCATGGCCTTGTTGTCTACGTACAGCACCGGAGGAGAACGAGGCGGCTCTCCGAGGTCAGTCAGCAGGTAGGTGAGCCAGCGAAGCTCCTGTGCAGCCATGGCCCCGGCGTAGATCTCAGCCTCACAACTGGAGCCAAGAACAGAAGACGAGCGAGTAGCCCGCCACAAAACAGAGCCGGAACCAAGGCTGAAGGTGTAACCCTGTGACGACCGCTGCGTAGCCTGGTCGTCTGCCCAAGAAGCGTCTGCGTGCCCAGTGAGGACCACTTGACTCCGCCCTCCAAGCACTAACCCCATGCCCGACGTACTGCACAAGTAGCGCAACACCCTCATTGCTGCAACCATGTGCTCTGGTCTGTGTCTCCCAGGAGCAACATAGCATGCAAGAATGCTAAGAGGGTATGCAAGGTAAGGTCGTGTGCGGGTCATCAGGTATATGAGGCAGCCAACAAGCTCTGGGTACGGGCCACTCGACTCTACGGACTCATCCGAAGGCAGAGCTGCGAGCGAGTGGCGAGTAGACAGAGGAGTGGCCTAAGGCGAGGAGTACGTGAAGCCGAAGCGCTGAAGGACCTGCTGCACCATGTGTGACTGAGTCAGGGTAATGGTGCGGCGTGCTCTGTCCCGGGTGATCTTCAAGCCAAGTTAGCTGCGCAGTTCACCCAGGTCTGTGCACGTGTGTCTCTTCTGTAGCTCAGACTTCACGTGGGCGAGTCCAGCAGTGTCAGTTGTGGCAAAGACCAAGTCGTTGACGTACACGAGGATGTAGAACGGCGGCAGAGAGGTGTCGGTGCGCAAAAACTGCGACGGGTCAGCAGTAGAGGGAGCAAACCCAAGAGCCGCAAGTGTAGTCCTCAGTGTGTCGTGCCACTCGCGTGGTGCCTGGTGGAGACCGTAGACTGGCCGTCCGAGGCTCCACTGGGTGCCAGGAGGGAAAGTCCCAGTGAAGCCAGGTGGACGGCGCAACCAGATCTCCTCGTGCAGGCTACCATGCAGGAAAGCAGTGCTGAAGTCAAGGGAGTGAAGCTCGTAGTCACGCTGAGCGGCTACGTGTAGCAGCACCCGAAGAGTGGTCATCTTCGGGGTGGGAGAGAAGGTTTGAAAGTAGTCAACTCCTTGCCGCTGACTGAAGCCACGAGCCACGTACCGCGCCTTGAAGACAGGTGGAGAGCCCGGCGGCCGCTTCACCCTCAAGATCCACATGCCACTGATGATGTTCGCCCCAGGTGGGGGAAGCGCGTCAACGTAGGTGCCTGTGGACTTCCAGGAAGCCATCTCTGCATCCATAGCTGCCTGCCACTGAGAGAAGTAGGGACCCTCTACGGCCTCCGCGTAAGAGCGCGGAGTCGGGATGTCTAGTGCATCCGGGTCTCCCTCAGGGGTAAGCAGTACGGATGCGAGATGAGGTGAAGCAGCAGCCAGGCACTGGAACTCCTCCTGCCTGTCCTCAAGGACGTCCGTGCCAAGAGCACACTCACCCCCGACGGACGGAGGACAGACAGACGCAGACTCAGCAACAAGACTAGCAGCGTAGTCTAGACAACAGCGAGGAGCAAAGTCGACGAGCTCAGCAACAAGAGCAGACGCAGCAGTGGACTAAAAGGAGGGGTCAGTGACGACAGTAGCAAGGAGATGCGTAACAGTAGGACTCGCAGCATGAAGAAAGTCCGACTCAGGGTCGGCAAGCGCAGGAAGAGAGGACTCAGGAGGAGAGGGCAAAGGGGCACGCAGAGGAGCAGTGGACGGACGCAGAGACATCCGGTGCGTGCCAGGGACAGGAGGAGGACGCTGACGCGAACTGCGACCACTAGTGCAAGCAGCACGAACAGGCGACGCAGGACGAGACGCAGGCCTACGACGCTCAGCAAGACCTCCAGTAGGACCAGTGTACGGAGAAGGAGAAGGCAATGGGGAGGCCGGCGGTAACTGTGACTGCGACTGGACAGGCGGTGGACACTCTAAGGGAGGAGGAAGACCAAGAACCTGCTGAAGGAGCGGAACAAAGTACGGCCGAGGCCGCGCGGCGACTCTAGACACAGCAGGGACAGCATAAGCACCCCCAGCGGCAGCACCAGCGTCAACAGCACCTCCAGCTCCAGTACCTCCAGAAGCACCAGTAGGACCCGCAGCAGGACCGCCATCAGGACTGACAGCAGTAGCCTCAGCGCCAACACCCTCAGCAGCTCCGACTTTAGTAGCACTCGCAGGACTAGCACCTCCGAGACCGGCGGCACCAGCACCCTCAGCAACCGAAGAAGCACCAGCTCTAGTAGTACGCCTCCAGCGGCGGGCAAACCACTCGCGCAGCTAC